AAGAGTGAATGAGACATCAACTCACTGATCCACCTGACATGGATCTACTATGAGGATATTGGGATGTCATTTGGACTGGAGAAGTGTGGCAGGATGATAGTAAAGAGAGGGAAGGTAGTTAAGACCTTTATTCTTCAACAAGACAGTAAAGTTGTCTTTCTACCGTATGTTCTTCCAGTACTGACCACTACAGAAGACAGACAGATATACATGTCGATAGACAGATAGATAGATATACATTTTTCTTGTATACTCATATCTTAAATATAATATTTAAGTTCAGTAATAATAAATGACAATCAAGCTAAAAGATGGATTCTGGCATGTAGGCTTAGTTAATACTTCCTAATCTTTCTCATGCTGCCATTGTTGCAGGAATGTGGACAAAGAAATGTATAAGCCACAAGGACCACACAGTTTTCTGGTGTAACTTGGGAAACATAAGAGATGAAAATATATAGCATGATTAAAAACAGATTCTCAGTAATTATTGAGTGGTATGTGACTTTCTCAATGTAGCTGTAGCTAAAGAATGAGCATTTGTGAGTTTGTAAGCATATAAGAACTGAAGTGGGGAGGGGTTTTAAATATTTTAACAATCCTTGACAAAAACTACTTGTATAAGTTTGTTTGGTATGAACTATGGTATTTAACATTATTTTAATTATTTTTTTAGTATTCATCTTTGCAGAGAAAGCCAATTTATTCATTGGACGACATCTTCTATATAACAGATTTGACTTTGAATTAATAACCCAAGGGGATCTTGAAAGAGAATGCTATGAAGAGCAATGTGATTTTGAGGAAGCAAGGGAATTTTTTGGAGATTCAAGAAAAACAGTAATTATTTAATTTTGATTACTTACATAGAGGACATATTAAATATCAGTGCTGTTGACTATTTGACATACTGTATGCATGCTTATTTATTGATAACAGGTCAACAGCACACTCTGTATAGGAGAGGCTGTTAATGTTTCTTATACACCCTAATAATGAAGCCTTCTAGGTTAGCTCAGGTCATGTTTTTCTTCAGTTGTTTAAACTCTGCTCAGAGATAAAAATCATCCCCTGTTTAGAAAGTAGCCATCAAATGCCCAGACAAATGTCTTTATAAATCCAAATCCCTGATACAAGCAGAGAATCTTATCTCTATCAAGCAGATGGGGTGACAGTGTGAAATAGGAATACCTACTCTACTCTTTATTTTTCTTGTGACTAAGAAAACTGGCTACTCAAACTCTGTGTGATCATTTTACTAGTGAAGGGGTACTCACCATTTCATTTACCAGTTAATTTCTTAAAGGTAGTAAAGGCTTTGAAATGTATAGTGGGTGTGTGGATATTCATTTTCTTTTCTATTTATCTAGAAGAGTATGGCTCTCAACTCATACTGCAAATGCACAAAGGCACTAAGAATGTAATTTTTAAAAATCTCATGGGAATGATGTGAGATAATCCTGTGCACTTTCCAGCTGATGCCAGTGGTGTTCATAAAATGATATTCTACACAGTGCTTTTTGTAGGAACAGATGTGTTTCTTGTGGAAACAGTTTCCTTTTTCCACCACCTGATTATAGTACCCTGGATGCCAGTAAATGGAATATCCCTGCAATAGTATTTGAATATTCACTTAAGTAGAAAGGTGGAATGTAAATCAAATAAACAGAGCTGTCACTTTGAGAAAAAAATCACAGTTCAGTGCAGCAAATGTGTCTTGTTCTGGAGAACAAGATTCAATAATTGTCATGATCCTAACTATTTCAATTGAAATGTTTCTAAAATAATTTATTTAAAATATAAAATCACATCTCCTCTGTCTCTCTCTTCTCCCCACTGCTCCACCCCATCCACCATCTCACTGAACTTTTTATTAAGGTTTTCATTTGAGTTGTGGTTTTAATTTCCCAGTATCAAAGAGAATTGACATTTCTTTAAAAATGTGTATGCGTGCAATATATGTTGTTCCAAAGAAATTGCTGGGGTATTGATATATTTAATGTCTAGTTTTAAGCATTTTGAAAGCAAGTAAAATTAAAGGCTAATCTGGAAAAATCTGCCTACCTTCAGAAAAAAATATCTTAGCAGAACTTGGTTAGACTTTTGTAGTCCTAATCTAAATACGTTGTTTGTTTTCTGTCTTAGATGTCTTTTTGGACTGAATATACTCTTAGGGGTCCTGGGTCAAAAACAGGTAAGACAAAAACAATGTCATGTATCAAAATTCTTTTGACATATAGTATCTTGGTTTATGTCTTCTATCTGTGATGAATTAAAGCTGCTCTTTCAATGGATTTGCAGACAAGAAAGACCCAAGCTGTAATCAGTGCATTCATCTTCTATAAGAAGTTCCTTGTGGTTCTTCTGATGTACACAGCAGAATAAAGGAATTGTTGATGCTGGCAGCAAAAGTGACTGAATTTATACTAGAAAAGAATATCCATAGTATTGTGGCTTGCTATTTTCTCTTTCTCTTGGTATTTTAGCTGCATTTTATAATATGGGAAAGTGTTTTCTTGCAAGCTAGTAATGCTTAGAAGGGCAAGATTTTGTTTACTCAGATATTTAATTTTCTTGCCACTAACTGCTCTGTCATGTACTGTGATCATGCAAGTCATATATTTGTAGTAGACATACTGAGTTCTGAATTATTTGTATGAAGATTTTGAACAACATCCCAATGTCATGCTAGCAAAACGTCTGCTTATACAAAGTTTCTATTGTTCTCCCCATCTGAATCTCTTCCCCAAACCTTTTCTAAGATACTTGTGCAAATGGGAAGGATAATTGATTTAAAACTTTTCTGGCTGACCCCTTCCAAGAGTTTATTAACAGAAGATACTTATGACAAACTGCCACTGGTCAGGCTGAACTTCCTGACATGCCCTAATCTATCCAGTTGGAGAGTTTTTAGCTACTGTATTCTACAAAGGGCAATTCCCTTCAGATGGAGCAAGGAAGGAATAATTCGTAGTGACTAAGGTGAGGGGAGATCCTTATGGAACTCAGATCTATTGCTGCAGCAGCAGTGAGTCAGGGGACAAGAAGCCACTGTATCATCCTACTCCTTCCTTTCTCCTGCCTGCCTTCAATTGCTATAGCTTTGGGGAAGAAGCTTGGTACCCAAGATCTCTCACCATTGAGAAACCTAAGCAGAGAGATTTATCTTGGGGGAGGCAGAGAGTTCTACTTACACCTTGATGGAAAGGAATATGCTTTGGTCTTCCTGCCTAGAGGCCAGAAATTAACCAATCTTATGCCAATCTTGAAACATAATGTGTAGTAATAATGCAGCCTTGCCTATGGATAATGAGAAATTTTCTTACAAAACCAGCAAAGTTTACTAGAAATGGAAGTATACAGGAAAAATAAGGGAAGGCAATAAGCTTTCTCTTTCTCTCTCTCTCTCTCTCTCTCTCTCTCTCACTCACTCACACACACACACACACACACACACACACACACACACA